ACAGGCCAGGGTGCTGGGACACTGCAGGGGCTCAGGGTTATGTACTGGGGCTTCCATCTGCCATTTGGGTATCTGCACCACCATGGGAAAACACTGGCAGCTGCAAAACCCGGTTCAGGCAGCTGCCTTAGCTGGTCCAGGCCCTCCTTCCCCTACCTTCCTGGAAGAAAGACACCCTGGCTACAGTTTTTGTTATTCTTGATGTGAGCATTAAAGCTTTTGTCCCATCTACCCACTCCAGGCCTGTACCCCAGCATAAACAGGGGATTTGAAAGCAAGCACCCATGTGGGAACAGGAGTGAACAGGGAAACTGGGATGATTTTCTGGAGGGGAAGGATCTGCCCAGAGCAGCCAGGCCCTGCAACCTTCCCACTGTCTCGAACAGGCTCCATCATGGGCTTTATGAAAGAGCAGGATCTGAGTGAAAAGTCATAAACTTGGTGTCCAAACAGTGCTTCATCTTTTTTACCCAGCATTAGAAGCGATGTGTTTGTTTCCTTGGGCTGGGGAATCCAAAGGAGGCACACCTAGGCTGCCTGTGGGACCTGCATGCTTTGGCAGGCTGACTTGGCCAGGGTGGGCAGATACCTTCAGACCCTGCAAGAAGGGATGCTGTGGTGGTTGAAATCAGCATCACTCACTCTCACTCTTGCCCCCAGCCCTGGAACAGCTGTCTGTGGGCATCCTCACTGCCCACACTGAGATCTGCTCCATCCATGCCTCCCAGTGAGGGAGGTGCTCTCATCCTGCCCCCAGCCCCTATCCACGGCCATTTCTCTGCTTTGTTCTCCTACCAGCCCTACCCTGTGGCTCTGCTTGCTCATCCCCTCAGTGCCACTGGGCTGTTGGTGCCTCATCCCAGCTGGGCTCTTTGGGATGCTCTGGGTTCCTGGTGCCACAACACCAATATTTTTATCTTGGATGCTAATACATTTCCTTCCTCCTCTTCTGTAAGCACCATCTTGCCAGCGGCCCACGAGAGATCTGTCAGCCCCCTCTTGCACCCCAGGACATTATTTTCTTGGCATCATTTTTTTCTTTAAATTATTATTTTCTTTGGCCATCACTGATGATGTAGTCAAACCCCAGGTCCTGCCTGCACACTGAGGGTGCTGCAGGCCCGAGGTGAGAGCAGCACATCCCTGTGAGCGAGCTGCCCTTTGCCTCTGACAGTGATCAGTGTAGGACCTCATATTTCAGAGTATTTCTACTTATCCCCTAGTTCCAAAAAGGTTTTCGAATAAAACCACCGTATTTCGGCATCGCTTATGACCTTGCAGGAGCCTTTTAAATGGCAGCCAAAGGTTGAACAGCACCATCTAGTGCGCTGCCTCCCAAATCCGCCTGCGCCGGAGGGATGCGGGCTCCCACCCAGGCACATCCCTGCCTCTGGAAGGGAGCGCTGCATGCTGACAGCCCACCAGCCATCACCCCTCACACCGCGTGCTCGGCGGGAGTCAGGGAGTCGCTACAAAGAGAATTCATTTGGGAGGATTCTAGTCAGTGCTGAAGCTGATCCAAGCTGTTTCAGGCTCTGAAGATGGGTTGCTGGAGAGTTTGTGGGTCCCAAGCTACCTTGGCGGGAGCAGAAGGTGCTACAGAACACATCCCTTTGCAAGGAGGCTCTGGAATTTCACTGCACCACTGCTATCTGCATGCAGCACAGACTCTTCAGACCAAAGGCTGAGAGCAGTTCCTTTTCTCCAGTCTTTGCTTTTTGTTTCTTCCAGGCAGAAAGGAATGTGTGCATTGGGAGCTGGGAAGTGTCCAGCACCCCAGGTTCACACCGGGCCAGCCTCAGTGGCAGGGTGACACCAGGAGTGCACCAAAAAAACACCACTGCCATCTCGGTGGTGGCAGTTCTGGTGTAAGGGTGATATTCGAGGTAAAAGGCAGACCTTCACAATCTGATGAAGAAGGGAAAATAACCAGGTTTGGTTCATTGGCCTCAAAGACCTTGCAGTCTGATTCCTCCAGCACACAGGCAGGAATGCTCAGTGTGGTTTAGCACCTGTTTGATGCCCTCAGATAAATCTGGGAGTAAGTGATTTTGGCCCCTGGTAGAGTGCAGGGGTAAGTCTGTTTGTCATGAGCCACCTAAGGGGTAGAAGACAGGGAAGGGGCTCCAGGGGGAGCTCATGGCTCTCTCAGCCCCAAGCAGCCCTGCTAGAGGACCAGAAAATAATGAGACACCATGAGGGCTCGGCATCGACCTGTGAGAATTTGTTTCTTCTGGCCTGGGAAGGGGCAGCTGCCTGGCTGCCTTTTGCTCTCCCTGGGAGCATGCACAGAGTGATCCTGCACTGCTGGAAGGGACATGCTGGCCCGTCTGGAGGCCCCCTGCCTCTCTGTGCCCCTGGGGGTTGGGATGGGGGCTGGTTCTCACTCCAGGCTGTGTCCCCTGAGCTGGGGGAATGTGCCAGCAGGAACTGGTGGGAGCAAGATGAACCTCCAGCATTTCTCCCAGCTCCCCAGGTCCAGTCCAACCCGAGGAGCAGTAAGAAAGGTCAGGGAAGGATGGCAGCATGAGGGAGGGCACATAAAGCCCCAGCACTTTAACCATCTGCATCCTGCTGCACCCAAACTCACCACCTCGGGCTCTCCCTTGCCACGGAGAAATCTTGCTGTTGTTTCTCAAACAAACTCAGTTCAAGCCATGAATCTTGCTGTGCCTTTTTTCTGGGAGATGACAAGCTCTCTAACACCTGATCATCTCTCACCCATGAAGTGGCTGCAGTGCTTTAATGGAGGCATCTCTGGGGCTCCTTTAAACTTGCTGGGGAGGCTGTGGGCCTCAGCTCCCCCCCTGCAAAGCAGGGCTCACTTTTAACTCTCCTCCACCTTCTCCCAGTCCCTCAGCATCCTTTCCAAAACACAGATACTGGAACCCTTGTGCTGCACCCAGCCCTGTCCCAGCTGGACATCCCCTGTGGGGACCCTGCTGCTCCCACATTATTCCTCCCGCCTCCTAAACTCCCCCTGATCTGTCCTTGCCAGATGCCGGGTTTCCAGCAGAAGGGCCCTGTGTTCAGTGGACAGACCCTTTCACAGCTGCTCGCATTCAAGCACGTTTTATTTGCCAGGGACTCGGCTTGTGAAGTTTTCTACAGCTGTCTTGACCTCATCCATGTCTCCTGCCCCTCTCATTTCCCTCGCCCCGGCGTTTTTCTCAGCAGGGCTTTTTAATCTATTTCTAGACCATTGATGGAAATACTGAATAGCACTGGGCTTCCCATCCAAGCCTGGACACCCACTGAGCGCACTCCCATTCTGCAGGGATTCCCCATTGATGGCTGTCGGTTTGCCAGCTCCCAGCCCCTTTAAGGTGTCCCTCTTGATGTTGTATTGTGCTAATTTTTAATCAGAATAGTATATGGATTAAGTCACATGCCTGAACAGAGCCCAGGTCTATTATTTCTATGCCATAACCTTTATCAGCCAAACTTGTAATCTCTTCAAAGGATGACATCAGAGTTTGACAAGAGCTATTTTCTGGAAACTAGGCTGATTGCATTAATTATATTCCCATCCTTTAATTCTTTACCAGCTGAATCCCACATCAGCTTTTCTATTATTACGCCTGAGATCAGTATTGCACTGTGTATTACACATTGCTATGTGTAAATCAGCTCCGAGCATCGTTCACATGAGAGAGCGCAAGGAGCCACATCATCCTGGCATAATCTGTGGTGGGGTGGGATCAGGAGTGTCACTACCCAGAGTGGATGTTTGGGAGTTTCACAAAGCTGGAAAAAAATTTTGCATTTCCAAAAGTGTTCTCTAAATGCATTGAGGCAGGCAACTATGGTAGTGTAGTCGCATAAGAAAGAGGAAACAGTCCCTATTGGAAATCATTCTGAGCTATTTCTGATTTCCAGAGGATTGTCTAGTGGCTTGTTTGCATGTTCAGCTTTTGGGATGGTATCTAGGGTCTGCTTGGCTCAGAGTCTATCACTGCTTTCCAGGGAAGATGCATGCTTTTCCACTTCCCTGTTACACTGCTGTCATTTGACCGCTGCATCTGGCAATTCACTTCTCCCTTCAGCGTCCCCCATCACTGCAGCTTCAGAGCTGAGGCACCCTGCTCTCCATAACCAAACATCCCCGATCTGGGGAGTCTCCACGTGCTGTGACCCATTCCAGTCCATGCAGTGCCACCTCTTGGACAGTCCCTGATTTCTCCCCGCCGCGGTTGCTCAGAGAAGCAGATGACACACTGCAGGTTCCAAACTAGCTCTGGTTGTTGGTGGAGGCTGGTGGACCGGTGCCCCCACATCCCCAGGCCCACGGTGCGTGGTCCAAACTGGACAAAACTCAGGTGTGTCATGGTGTTCAACACGGACAGACACGCGGAGGCTGGTGGCGTTTGAGGGTTGATGCCCTTCCTGGGCAGAACCCTTGGATGAGACCCTGGAGGTGTCTGAAGTTTCTCTGGGCCCGTCTCTGCCCGGGATGCTCACGGGCTCCCCTCATGCAGGCCGGATGAAGCCCTGGAGCCACTCAGCCCTTGAGGTGCCCACCCAGCCGGGGCTCTGCGCGAAGCCCAGCCCGAAGCCTCGGCCATGTGCCGGAGCTGTCCGGGAAGCCCAGCCCGTACACTCGGCGATGTGCTGCGGCTCCCGGGGCTCGAGGCCTCCCCGAGCCGAGACCTCCGTGCTCCCCCGGGCCGGCCCCGCAGCGGGGG